CATGAGATTTTATATATATATATATATATATATATATATATATGTAGACTTCCCTTCTGTCCTTTGCATCTTTTTGCTAACAGCGTCGATCAGCCTTCTACACCCGAAAAGTCAAGTTCTCCCAGGAAACCTTCTCCGAAAAGTTCGCCGCCATCCTCGAGAGTTTTCCGCGATTGCAGGATATCCATCCGTTCCACAAGGATTTGCTCAACACGCTCTATGATGCCGACCACTTCCGCATTGCGCTCGGTCAGCTCTCTACCGCCAAGCACTTGATCGAGACCATTGCCAGAGACTATGTCCGTCTGCTCAAGTATGGCCAGTCCCTCTTCCAGTGCAAGCAGCTCAAGAGGGCTGCGCTCGGTCGCATGGCCACCATCTGCAAGCGCCTCAAGGACCCCCTCTTGTATCTCGACCAGGTCAGGCAGCATCTTGGTCGGCTGCCCTCCATCGACCCTAATACTCGAACTCTGCTCATTTGCGGTTATCCCAATGTGGGCAAGTCCAGCTTTCTGAAAAGCATCACTCGTGCCGACGTTGACGTTCAGCCCTATGCTTTCACGACCAAGAGTCTGTTTGTCGGCCACTTTGACTACAAGTATTTGAGATTCCAGGCCATTGACACTCCGGGTATTCTGGACCATCCCCTGGAGGAGATGAACACGATTGAAATGCAGAGTATTACTGCCATTGCACATCTGCGATCAGCTATCCTGTACTTCATGGACCTGTCCGAGCAGTGCGGCTACACTGTTCAGGCACAGATTCAGCTGTTCAAGAGCATCAAGCCTCTATTCTCCAACAAGCTCGTCTTCCTGGTCGTAAACAAGATCGACGTTGCTCGACCCGAGGATCTAAGCCCCGAGCTGCAGGCGGATCTGCAAGGCCTGATGAAGGCTGGAGAGATTGAAATGCTCCAACTTTCCTGCAACACTCAGGAAGGTGTGCAAGAAGTCAAGAACGCCGCCTGCGAGCGCCTGATTGCCGAGCGAGTCAACCAAAAGCTGAAGGCTGGCACAAGCAATGGTAGGAATATTGGCGGCCGTCTGGCCGATGTCATGTCCCGCATCCACGTTGCCCAGCCCATGGGCGGCCAGTCTCTCGAGACGTTCATCCCCGAAGGAATCAAGAAGTTGAAGAAGTACGACAAGGAGGACCCGGAACGCCGCAAACTGGCCAGAGATGTCGAAGTCGAGAACGGTGGCGCTGGAGTATTCAACGTCGACATGCGCGCAGACTACCTCCTCGAGGACCCCGCGTGGAAGTACGACAAGATCCCCGAGATCTTTGACGGCAAGAACGTCTACGACTTTATCGATCCCGACATTGAATCCAAGCTTGCCGCTCTGGAGGAAGAAGAAGATAAGCTGGAACAGGAAGGCTACTACGACTCTGACGAAGAAATCGACGACGACGAAGAGGCAGAAGTCCTGAGAAAAGCCGAGCTCATCCGTGAGAAGCAGCAGCTGATCCGCAACGAAGCCCGCATGAAGAAGCGTCTCAAGAACCAAGCCATCATCCCCCGCAGCAAGACCAAAAAGTCCTTCTCCCAGCTCGAGGACGCCCTCGATCAACTGGGCGTCGACACCAGGAATCTCGCCGACCGCGCACAGCCCAAGGAGGTCCGCCGCGGGCGCTCCATGTCCCGCAGCCGCCTGGGCACCGAGGACGTCGACACAATGGATGTCGACTCCAAGCCCCGCGATCGCCTGCGCTCCCGCGCTCGCTCCATGACCAGAGCGCCCACAACCAACCGTCGCGAGGACGGTGTCCAGGACGAACTAACGAGGTCAAAGGCCGAGAGAATCGCCAAGCTCAACCAGAAGAGAATGAACAGGATGGCTCGGCAAGGCGAGGCCGACAGACATACCACGGTTTCTCTGGAAAAGCACCTCGTAAGTCATGACCATCATTCTTTCGTTGTTCCCAATTACATACCAGCCGTCAGCTAACTGTTTTCTTTTGTAGTTCTCTGGCAAGCGCGGCATCGGCAAGACTGGTCGACGATAAGTTTCCAGCCAAAAAGGGGACTCGGGCAGAATGTGCTTTTCTTCGTTGTTGTCCGATACGTTATTTCCAGGTCATGACGAGTCGTATTTCTGCTCTGGAGTTGGGCGTTTTTTTTTTTGTTTTTTTTTGTCGTTCTTGTCGCATTGGAATCGGCTCAGCTGAAGGATACAAAGTAAAATGAAGACGTGGGAACAAGCTGCTTGCGGTAGCGCTGCTGCAAAGCGCACGCGGAAATCAATCCAGACTTTTCTTGTCCTTCGTCCCATTGGATGCTGTAGATTGCATATATATAACGATATGTGGCTAGGTTCCAAAGTGCACATGTGCCCAGATCCAAGGTTACCATGTATGATGGGAAGTGCAGCGTTTACAGCCAAACTTGCTCAGGAGACGGGGGACCAGGTCACAGAACATAAGCTACAGTACGTGATGCAGTAAATGACGACCTCTGCTTCGCTAGTTCTGTTGCTCAAAGTTGAAATTTTGTCAATGTAGCCAAAAATCGAAAAGAAGAGTGGAAACAAGAATTGGAGGACGTATTTCTTTGCCGCTATTTCAAGCAAATTGGCATAAAAAAGAACAGATGCTACCCAGACAACGCAGTCCTCTACCACACGTAGCTCTAAAAAACAACATCCTACCTACCCTACCTACACGACTAGCCTTCTGAATCTGTCATCTTTCCGTCGCTAGAACCGCGTCTTTACTCTTCGGCAACAGTGATGCCCTCTCTCAGGCCCTCAACCTTGAGCTCTTCGCCAGCGCAGCGCCGATAGATGTCCTTGACGTCGTCGGTAGTCGTCTCAAAGTGGCTGGTTGCGTCATAACTCTTGGAGATGAAGAGGTTGTCCTTCTTGCCGTCTTCAAGGGGTTCATAGATGGGGATCGGCGGGCCCTGGGAAATTACTTGTTAGCGGGTTAAAAAAAAAAAAAAAAGACAACATTCCGATAGCTTCATTCTTTGGCGAGATTACGGAAAGGCTCCCGGGACTGTGGACCAGGGGGGGAGAACAATCGATCTGCAGGGTAAAATTGGTAGGCACGTACCATGAACTGTTCTTCAACCTTGCCCAGGCGGTCTAGGCCGGGCTGCAACTCGAGGTGGTGGTTTGCAGATGTCTCGGCTATGGTAGAAACGATGGCGATCCAATAACCCTTGGGGCAGACATTGTGAGCGGATGATACGCAAGCAATGTAGATGTCTGCAGACCAATGCTTAGTGGCTTTTCTTCCAGCATACTCAATGTAGTGGGGGAGCAAAGTCTTACCATTCTTGCGGCCAACTTGGGACTGGGGAATAATCAGCTGAGCAGAGTCGCTGTCGTTGGTTCCGGCCAAGGGGTGCTTGAGGATGCAGATGGCTCGCAGAACGTGACCGGTAACCTTGGTCTTGCTGGGGAAGTAGGACGGATCGCCGAGAATCATCTTGGCCTTGGTCTCGAACTTCATATCCTCAGCACCCGTCTTCATGGTGGCCTTGATGCCAGAAGCCCTGTCGCCATCGTAGAGCAACTCGTCCACGTTGGTGTTGAGCATGTAAGTGCCGCCGTATATGGCGGAGAGACGAGCGAAGCCCTGAGGCAGTTCGCCGAGACCGTAGAGTGGATAGATATAAGGGGACTTTCCGTACCTGGCAACAGAGTTGCCATACAGACGAATCCGTTCTATGGCCTCGGGAGCCTGGCCCTTTGTTGTGATGTAGTCATCGGTAAGGTACAGAGCCATGGCGTGGCCTATGAAGTCCTTGGTGCCAGCCTCGAGACCGAACTTATCATAGACCTCCTTCATAGTGCATGTATTGAAGTCCAGCCCTGCCCGCAAGTCAGCATGTGTACATCGCTAGGCATCAATATTGACATGGTGAAGTTGCGAATACACACCCTTGTGAGTCGCAGGGTCCTTTGGGTTGAAGGTGCCAACCCACTCGATGAAAGCCTTCATGCGTCGCTTCTCAAAGATGCCCATGAGAGGGGACTTGAGAGCTTCGCCGGCATCAGAGGGCACCTTGGCGACAGTGGCCTTGCTGCCAGCACCTTGCTGAACGAAGCTGCCGGCAACCTGCTTGAACTCGAGATATCGGGTAACATCGGTAGAGACGAGGACGTTGGTCAATTCTCCAGAGGACATGAGGAACTTGGGGACGAGATCAATGTTCCAGTCGTTGAGTCGGCCGTACTTCTTCCACGGCTCCTCGCCGGCCTGAAAGTTTCCATACTTCTTGAAAAGCTATCACATGTGACGTACACAGTCAGAAACGAGAGGCTCGGGTCAGGGGCGAAGGCAGCAAGCGAATGGGGGGAGTGCCTATACCGTCTCGAGGTTCACCGACGCGGCTTCACTGCACACGGAGAGATGGGTTAGCGGTTTTACTTGCATGCCGTCTTCCGGTGTTTTCCATCTGCCAAGGACACATGTCCCCTCCCCCCCCCTTCCCCCGTGATCATGAGGCTCGGGACAAGAGACAAGAGATTTCTTACCCGCCATAGTGGTCATTGCGGTCGATATGGAGAACCTTTTTGCCCTTGACGCTCAACACACTGACAAGAAAGAAAGTCGCTTGTCAGTTTAGACTTCTTTTCGCCTGGAGTCGCCCGCAACGCATATACCTACCCAGACAGGATGCATTCGGTCAAGCCTAGTGAAAGAATGAGAGGTCAGAAAAAAAGCACTCAATTCAGGTAAACTGCTCAGCCCAGCGAGGCGCACACACACACAAAACAAAGCGCTTCGCCGATCGACACCAAAGTGCCGGACCGCAGGTGGAGCTCTACTCAGTCAGGCTTCGAAACTTACCAGTGCCCAGCACAATGACATCGTACTCGTTTGCAATCTCATCCATGGCTTCGGTCCGGGTATTGTCTGCGTGGCTGTCGGTTCGTCTTCGTCTCTGGGCAAGGAGCTGCGGTGGTGATGATGATGATGATGATGATGATGATGAAGATGATGAGAAGCTAAAGGGGAGCTGGCTTGGCGTCGGGTGGAGGGGTTCAGTGGTGCAACTTGCAGGTGGCGGGGAGCAGAGGAGCGAAGTCCAACGGCGTCGCGGAGGTGGGGAATGAATTTCAGGCCCGTCCAGGCGAGCAGCCCTCGTCTGTTCAAATCTCGTCGGGGATCCATCCGTATGGCGAGGAAAATCAATTGCCGCCTTGTCGGACTCGTATGATGGATGAAGGACCTTGGTTACCGGGTGTTGGCAGATTGGCTCCTTGTCCAATATGCCACCGTCAAGACACACAGATAGACCATCTAGCACATCGAGCCCGCGCGCCGCAGTCGGTGTGCATACATAAGTATGCATGGTGGTTCCTGAATCTGAATTCCCGGTTATACCGTACCGTCTTGCGAGTAATTGTACAGAGTATCTCTCAACTAAATGTACACGCGACACAGCAAGCCGCCGCCTGCTACTCGTCACATTTTCTCCGTCCATCCGACGAAATCACGCCTCCTATCCCCGGAATTGCCGTGTCTCGACGTGACTGCAACCGCAACGCCTCTTCTCTTCACCGGCCGAGTTCCCTCTCGTCCTTGATCGGCTCCTCCTCTGCACTCTTCTCCTTCGCCCAAGCCTCTTCGACGGCAGCGTCTTCCTCTTCCTCATACCCCGCGGGTCTGTAAACCTGGCCGTCCTGGGCGTGCATGTCAATTTCAGGATCTGACCCGGCCACATCAACGGCATCCTGCCAAGTGTAGTATCGTTCCGTCAGGGCATGTTTGATGGCTCGCATCGTTTTCGTAACCTGCACCGCCAACACGGCAATTAGTCTAGACCTCGCAACGAGTCAAGTGTCTAGGAACAGGATTCCAAGAGGAAAAAGGGAAAGGGGGGAGCAAGGAGCGTGCGACGTACCTCTCCGTCTCGCGCCTCAATCTCCCGCTCACCAAATCCAAACTTGCCCCTCGCCAGCTCCGCCCTGGACGTCGCAAGCATGTTCCTCTCCCGGCAGCACACCCACCAGAGCGAATGCAGGTCTTCCCACGACTTCCTTCGGAGCTCTTCCACGGTCCATGCTCTTCCGTGCTGCTCGGTTTCCTTGGGCGACCACAACGCCTTTCCGGGTTCCGGGAAGAAACCCCAGAGGCCGTGGTCCTCGTCGACTGCGACCTTTGGTTTGAAGTCTCGCGGTTTGGGCAGAGGTATGTCGGACATGGAAAGGTGCTCCCGGGGCCCTGATCCATACAGGCTGCTGACCCCTCGGTTCTTGTTGTTGTCCTTGGTCTTGAGCTTGCATTGTGCAGCCGTTGTCGAGAACGTGGCTGCCCGGGCTGAGGCGAACCGCGGGCCAATTTTTGACAGGCAGCCAAACGACTGCCTCGGGGCACTGGAGCTGGCCATTCTATTTTCTGTCCTTTTGTTTGGATGGGGATGGACAATGGCTGGCTGTCGACGCTGCGAGTCCGATTGCTGCCCGGTTCAACGAATGATGTATACAAAATTTGGCACATGATTGGACTCGGCAGAGCCAACTAACCCAAGCTTGCTTGGTACTCCAATATGCTGAGTCAGCGGGTGCCCTTTTCGCCTACCCTACACGTGAACTAGTCCGTGTACTGCTTGCATCCCGCAGGGTAGCTACCCTATAACTAGAAGCACGATGCTTCGAACGTCGTCTTTCCTGACCACGCGCAGCACGAGCAGTTCCCTGAGAGGCACCTTGCTCCCAGTCAATCTCTGCTGCCAATAAAGACAGTAACAAGTGAGGAAATTCGGCAGTCCATGCAGATAATCCCCCCCTATGCTAACCAAGCCTCAACGACTACAAGAATTCCTGGTTCATCGTCGCCCACGGCATCTGATAGGCAGAGACCACGGCAAACCCGCAGCATACTCACGGACGAACCGGAACTAGCGGTCCACGACGACAACCATCGTTATTAGAAAAGGCTCTTCCTTTTGTCCAGATCCCCAATGCTCGCGGGTCGGCGGTACTACCCGCTCAACCCACCCGACTCCACAGAACGAATATAGAATCTATTACGGAAAACAGCCAGTCTCCATGATACCCGCCTCATTACCAACTTGCCCGATTTAACCCATTGATCTCGCGTAGATGGAGCACAGGAACCAGGCATCCGGTCCACCCGCCCACGGGAGAAAAGACCTGTCATGGTTGACGCGGGATGCGGTCTGAGCTCGACAGTGTGCTTGCATCGCCTCACGAAGGGCCAGTCTTTAGCAATGTCAGGGACTTACTTACCCCGTACTCCGTACCGCGTACGTAGCGAAACTCTCCAAGGGAGATGAGAAAACACGCGGGCATCTATGTTCAATCAATTCGTCATGACGAATCATCGCGCCTTAATCCGCTCCCCCCACCCCGCTCAGCGATCCGATCCAAGGCCTCGTTCACGACATCGGTCATCGGCGGGCCACCCACCATCATCACCATATCAGCAGCAAAAGGCCATGCTTGGGCTGGAGCATTTGCCGTCAGCGTGAGGTCTTCACGTAAGCCAACATCGTCCCGGAAAACATAAGAACATCACACCAAATCGCATGGTCCCCTCAGGTCCACGCACGTTTTTGGACGCATCGAGGTACGCATCTGGTAGAACCGAGAACAGGAACCCTCCATCTGACGCTTGACTCCAGAGCCAAAGACTTTGGCTGTGTGTGTGGTGTGTGCCTGACCCTGACCATACATCTGCCTGCCACGGTCACGACATCGCCTCCCCAATATCGGCAGGCCACTAGTAGTACTGCTCCCAGCATGCAGGCGACGGGCGGCATCTGCCCTCGGGCCGGCAACCGGCAGTAATATGACGGACACGATGAAATTTGGTCCTTCGTCGTCAGCTCGATGACCCCAAAAGACGTGCGTGCGGGTGTGCCGCCGGCCGGAGAGCAGCCTAGCTACACACATACACACGCTCACACGCTTTATCAAGTCGGTGGCAGGTCGTATGTAGCGCGAAGCTGTGGAACGACACATGTTCATCCAAAGAAACCTGGGAGGCATCGCACTGCGCAATCGGTAGTACATACAGTTAGTACATATTATACCTTACCTTGTATGCTAGGATCGACTGATCCCAAGTCGACGGTCTCGTTAATTCGTTCGCTTCCGTCGTGCTTACGGATCACATTATCCAGCATCTGCAAGTCCGGGCACCGGAGGGACTGTATATGTACGACACCACCATATACCAAGCTATTGGTTGGGAGGCATTGGCAAAACAAACTAGCGATGAGTCCGACGGCGGTGCACGTCCGGGAATACCACTAGTCCGCGGTAGTGACATGGACGGTCTCTCGGGCTTGCGACTTGTAGCAAGGAGTTACGCTCACCTGAACCAACCACCCTCGGTCCAGAGCCAGTTATCGTGGATGTGCACTGGTGTGCGAGGCGAATTGCGAAAACCTGACCTGACCCAAACCCAGGCAGGACACCTGAGCTGCTTTCCTGACGCGTGTCAACCTCCCGACCTGTGAAAAAATGAAAGGGTGGTGTTTATGATAACCCGATGCCACGCCACGCCACGCCACGCCACGCCTTGCCATGCCATGCCATGCCATGCCGCCGCGCTGATGACAACACCAACACGGATGTCAATGCCAGTGCCAGTTTCCTGGTACCAGATACATCCCCTAGGTGGTAAACTAGCACTGACGTAGGTTCGTACGGAGTGAGGTCCTCGGACATTGATTCTCGCGCAACTCTCCATCCCTGACTGGTATGGAACGAATCGACATGCAGGTCATTTTCTGGTGGCGGTAAGCATTCACCAAAGTCTCGGTATCCTCGGCCAGGTTTTCCCCCTTTGGAGAAGCCTGCTACGACGGACACGAGTCACCACCGTCAATGATCCAGAGTACAATATTATAGTTTTCTTTCCCTCTCAAGGAACATGAAAAGGAACGAACCGTCGTCATACACCATTGCCCAATGTATGTAACTAGCCATATATGAATCGACTGGCAGCCAGTACCGTGTCGATGGCAGAGCCAGATCGTCGGTGTCACCGCTATTCATCTCAGGTTGCGGCGGTGACGACAAGTGTTTCCCCTTGGGCCGATACCACAGGCTAAATGGGAGAAAAGAACGCCAGTTGTATCTGAAGTATCTGTCCCTGTGCGGTTCCATATCTGTTGGTCTATTGCGCCTAGATATCGTCCAGTATTCCATGACTGGTCCTCCCTTCCTGCTCCGGGGAGGGGGATAATCACCGCGGAACTTGCCATGCGGTGCGGGCTTGTTGACGTAGACCGGACGTGGCGAAGTTGTCACGGACAGTGAGGAGTCGACGGAACTCGACTTAGAGTCTTGGGGGCCCAGAACCTCACTTTGCGAAGGTCTGACAACGCTGCTTCAATTCGAGGCTTTACGAACAGCTCATTGACAGATACATGTATCTGTCCAGCATCTGATCATGTGGGACGGAGGCAATCCGGCCGTGACACGTCCTTGTGAACGAACGAAATCGGACCCCGTACAGCACCTGGGATCTGACCATGTCTTCCGTCACTTGGAGAATCTCTGTCTCCTGTACGCCGTCTGTTCCGCACACAACTTACATAAAATTGATTGACCACTTGGCCAGTCAGTGCAGTAGACATCCGGCGTCACAAAGTGGTGACGGGTGATGCTCTCCCCTGTACTTTCATGCAAAGCGTGTGCAGAAATGTGCTTCCTCGTACGGCGCACAGCGTACACCCTGCAAAAGTTCGAGCTACGGAGTAGACGGACTGGCATCCCCTTGTTAGCATGTCCAAAGCCTAGGGTTATTTGGCGGACCTCCTTGACCAAGTGACGTCTTCTATGGGCTCCCATGCTGCCGTGCGGGTGGGATGCATGTACAACTAGTACAGTCGCTGCACGGGGGAGTCCGTATGTACGTACAACATACGTCCGTACAAAGGTAGGGATCCAAAACGTCCACCGCTGGTGTTGAGTGTTGTTTGTTCCAGTAAAGACGAGACCAACCACCTACGCAATATCTGGGATGCCATCTCGTCGCCGCGACACGCCTGATGAACCAGAGCGACAGACAGACGGCATATGAAAAAGCACATAGTAAACTGTACTGTACGGACCTTCTCCAACCCGAGCGGGTAAAAAGAATGAAACAAAAGGGAAAACCAAAAAAAGAAAACAAACCGGTTCCTGGCTGCTGAATGTCCGAGTCGTCAACAACCACCGTCAATCATGGATTAGTTAGGCCACCACGGCTTTTCGCAATGCGATGTGGTGAACATGGTTTTGACGCCACCATCTCGTCCATGGAGCCGTCCTGGCACACCACGGACCCGGCTAGAGACTCGGTAAATGCAAAAGTAAAAGCATGTTTACTCCGTAGCTTGACAATTTACATGGGCATTGTTGCAGCAGCAAGATGTAAAATGTGACAAAGCACCGCGCCGGAGTTCGTCCGAGGTCGGCGACGTGCGCATCACCATTGACTCCGGTTTTGTTTGTTCTTGTCGTCTAATTTTTCGAGCTGCGCGGAAATAACTGGCCTGACTCGCGCGCTCACCATCCACAAGTATCCAGTACCCAACAATACATGGCGGTTGCGCCACCTAGTTACTGGCCGCGGGCGTTTGCCATGGACACGCCGTTCAACGCCTTGTGGCAAAGGCAAAGTCTGGTGTGTGGTGTATGTGTGTGTGTGTGTGTGTGTGCGTGCGCAGAGGACTCCGTCCGCGCATGCCTTGCCCAACCCTATGCCGTGTAACCATTGCCATTGGTCAACACCCCCTCCCCCTTTCTGTATACCGGCAGAGTTGTTGACTGCAAAAGACTTGCGCTCGGCGGCTCGCAACTCGGCAAGGAGGAGCATCAATGTGTACAGTACCGGCTGGGGAAGAGCGGCGAGACTTCCTGTGGTCCGTCGCAATTGCAATGAAAAGAAAAGAATGAAAACAAAGAACGACGGCCGTGGGGTACGCAGGCATCCAGAAAGTTGGTTGGAGAGCATGAGCTGCCCGATTTAGCGTGGCCAACAAGAGAAAGAGAGTTCATGGCTGGGTAGGCGCTGATGGCGGCAATGTATGTCTCCCAACCAAACTTCACCCTGTGCCATGACTCTCCTGCCCGCCTCGCCACGGCGTGGAGTTGCGCGAGAGATTTGATGACTTCTTTTTCATGGAGACGGATCTTGAGGCTCTTTTATCAACGGACCTGTGGGACGCGGCTGATTGGGGTCTCTCTCGGAGCGGCAGTAAATGGATCGCACTCCACATGAGGCTCTTCCTGAAGGTGAAGGCCCGCTTTCATAGCCAGGCACGCATTTGACTGCCGACGTGGTGTGGACAATGATGTGGTTCTTCCTCATCGATGTGACAGTGGCCACTTGAGGGGGAAGGGAGAGCGGGAGGGAGGGGTCTGCGCTGCT